TTTATAACTTCTGCCTGCATAATAGTTATTTTCCTGATGAATGTAAAAAAGGAACAATAATTACCATTCCCAAACCGAACTTGGATCACACTGTCCCAGGCAATTACCGGCCCATCACCTTATTGCCAGTTGTCGGAAAATCCAATTTTAATTCAAAAGACAAACCTCCATTACTCACCCATTAATCGTCTTAACATTAAATGTACAACAGAAGAGTATAGGGGGGAATAAATCAATTGCACTATTTATGGATATTTGTAAAGCCTTCGATTCCGTATGGCACGATGGGTTGCTGAAAAAATTGGTAATTTGGTATAATTAATAAAATAATTTCTCACACAAGGGAAATTACAAGTACCCACCTCTTCACCAGAACAGGGAGTGCCACAAGGTTCACCATTATCAGCTTTCTTGTATAATTTATTTTGTTATGGCATGTACAATTAATAATATTAAAAATGATTTAGATTAATAGGGGTAGGTTATTTATAGCCTAGGCCATTAAAATTAATTATTTATTACTTTGGACTTCTGTCAGATCGATCCAACCGCTTAAGAATAAAAATTTTAACTATGAAGTTTTTATAAAACCAAGCGAAAAGTACAAATTTGCGCTTCCAAAAGAAAGCGCAAAGTTGCACTTTTCCGAGAAGCGATAAAGTCACTTTGTCGCTCGGTTAGTTACCATGGAAACCATAATAAAGTGTATTTGCGACTTTTGACATAAACGTCAAATTTGAGGTTATCAATAATTATTAATTTTTACCAAACATTCTTATAGAATATAAAAATAGCTATTTGTGTATTAAGAGCGCAAATTACACCAGCGCTCGAATTACACACTGGATTTTTCATGGTAACTAAGCGAGCGATAAAGTAAAAAACGCTCGCTCCTCGGAAAAGTGCAACTTTGCGCTTTCTTTTGCAAGCGCAAATTTGTACTCTGCGCTTGGTTGTAGAAAAAAGCTATTATCAACCAAAAATATATTATGCAGTTACGTGTTTTTAATGAATTTAGCAAATTAACCCTCAAAAGAAATTAATTTATTATATGATTTAATAATATATTTAAATTCAAAATTCAATAATAATTTGTACTCTGCGCTTGGTTGTAGAAAAAAGCTACTATCAATCAAAAATATATTATGCAGTTACGTTTTTTAATGAATTTAGCAAATTAACCTTCAAAAGAAATTAATTTATTGGGTCAAAATCACCAAGGTGGAAAATTAGCAGTGCCACAAATAAATGACTAAATTCAGTTTTTCTTTAACAAATCAAGTTTTGTAAATACTTAACTGTGTTTACGTTAACTATACCTAATATAATATAGTTCAAAAGTAAACCATATTCATTATTATTTATATAAATAAGTACAAAAAATCATTTCGAGAACGCGTCCTAAGTAGCAATCTTTAGAAACAAACACCTGAAATAATCATAAAATAAAATAAATTTAACAGTTTTTCTTACTTATTCAATTCAATTTTATCTAATATCACGTAATTACAAGCATTATTAAAGAAAAAAAAAAGAAATGAAAGAAAATCAAGTCAAAATATTATGTCCAACAATGTAAGCATCATTTGAGTGAACGCTGTTTTGATTGTCCAAAAAAATTACGTTTTTGAACGAAGCCGTAATATGTGAATGGCACAGTTGTAGTGAAAGATGTAAACAACGTGGATGTCAAGTGAATTTTTCGCCAAAATAATTAAAAATAAGTGGTAAGTACCATTCGATCCCATAATTAAAGAGCGTACATAAATATATCATCATACCGGGAATGCGTTTATTAACTCGTAATATTGAAAAAATACGTTTTATAGTGTTTATAACAAATATTAACCTTAAATAATATACCTTAAACAAGCCAAACATGGCTGTCAAGATGACTTTCGTCTAAAAAGGGCGAGTTTATTTGAAAAAGTCATTTTGGGAACGGTCATTTCGGGAACGTCCCCGGACTTGACGGAGCGTTCTTGAAATGACTGTTATTACTTTTTGTCAATTAATTTATTGTATGTTGTCCTAAATAGTTTTAAATAAATGTTTTATTTTTTTAGCAAATATGGAATCTCATGAAGTTAAAAAAAAATTAAAAACGTCCAAAAAGACAACTTATAAAAATAGTTTAGCTTACATGCGGCAAACAGAAAAAGCTAATGCCAGAAAAAGGAAGTTTTTAGATAAGATAACAGAGGAAGAGAGATACATTAAAAGGGGTAAGGATAGAGCATACTATCAGAAAAAAAAGCTGAAAGAAAGTTAAAAACATTGCTGAGATGACCGAGAGAAAAAAGCGAAAGCAGAGAAAAATTTGGAAAGAAGCATAAAAAATACAGAGAAAAGAAGACAGCATTATTAAGTTTAGTAAACAATACTCCGCCACATTCCGATGATAATTTAGCTGCAACACCTTCAGTAAGAAAAACAGTGGGAAGAAAAATTGTGCGGAAGGATAGAGCCAAAGTATACCGTAAAAAAAAACATCAGAAGAAAATAATTGCTAAAATTAAACGTAAATATGAAACTTTAAAGAAAAGACTAAGAAGAAAAGAAAAAAGAGAAAAGAAGAAAGCTCGGGTACCTACAACTCCAACAGCAAAGTGTTTTTGGGGAAAAAACTGTAAAAGGCGAGAATAAGACATTCACAAACAAGGTTGCAATTTCAAGTACAGTCAAAGAATTAAAAATGAATTTTATTGAAGATATTCCAGTTAAGAAAAAAAATCTCTATGCAGTGATGGGCACGTACCCGGTATATACCCGATTTATTAAAATTTGGAAAATAGCCAAGGTATGTACTATGTACCAGTGGTGAGCACTATTGTAAACTTTGAACTATCAACTATCGATAGTGCTCATCACTAGTACATAGTACATACCTTGGGTATTTTACAAATATTAAATCGGGTATATACCCCGGTATATACCCGATTGCACATCACTGTCTGTATGGCATTTATAGTTACAACAAACGGAAAAAAGAGTTGAAAGAAAATTTAACTGAAGAAGAGGTAGGTAATGATACAAATAAACTTGTCAGTACGCAAATAAAATCTATTCATACAGCCGTATATTATATACGAAAGGTTGACAATGGTTTGCAATCTGGATCTTTTGCTACGGTGAGTAAAAATTTGTATCATAAAGCCCATGCGATATGGGCTCATATGAAACCGATCCTAAAACCATATTGGAAAAAAATATATTAACATCCTTCATATCTACTCGATAATCCAACATCACAATACCGCAACCGAACGAATAAACATCTTTGAAAGAACTGAAAATGTCTGCATTATCTGGCAGTTTATATCCGAACTCTGAACCAATAAATTTGGGAATACTCTCCTGAACCGAACGAGCATATGGATACAACTGATTTACAAGATTTGCTGAAATTAAAGAAACGGAGCATTTATAAAACCATTTATTACTCATCATCGTCCGATGAGGATGATTTAATGTTTGTGTCTTTTTTTATTATATATTTTTGATGTTTAATAATTATGATTACGAAAGCTTGTTTTTGTTTAAAAGTTCAATTTAAATATAGGTACATGTTTAATTGGTTTAATTATAAACATTGAGATAAAAGTTTAATATGATTATTAAGAATTGTACTTGGCTGTGTACATCGATTAAAAGACTGCAAAGAAGTAATTAAAGTTACATTTTTGTTAAGGATAAACCTCATGCCAAATAAATAAATAAGTACGGCATCAAAAAATTTTGCTTATAGTTTCATAAACCTAAAGTGTATCTATATCATCATTCAGAGAACACACCCATCATTCCGTGAACTCCTTATCATTTCCGGGAACATAACAAAAATCACAGATAACACATTATTATTTTAGATATTAAAAAAAGGCCTTGGAAATATTAAAACAGGCGGACTTCTTATACCTAGAGCTAGTTTATTTATATGTAAGTCAGCGATATTGGCATATTTAGTTAATTTAATTCAAAAAAATAGTCCCATAGGTTCATTTGTAGGGATATTTTGTTTTTAAATGATTTTATTTGCAACTTTCTTAGAGTTTTTTAATTTCTTATTATTAGCTACATACTTCCGCTATTGTAAAGCGTAAAAAAGAAATACTAAGTTATATTTTAATTTTATTATAAACCTTACAAAAACGTTCCCGGAATGATTGTTTTTAGCGATAGTTCACTTTAAAAATAAAATTACAAGAGAAGCAATTAATTCTATGCTCGGCCAACGTAAATATTGTTTAAACACAAGTTTAGTGATCATTTAAGCTAATTAGCAAAGTAATAGCTGCTAGGTGTATTCATCGTAAAACATAATTTGAAATTTGCCACCTTGGTGATTTTGACCCTATTATGATATGATTTCATAATATATTTAAATTCAAAATTCAATAAGTGGTGTTATTTTAACAAATTTTTCCAATTCTTTCTTAATATGATTTTGAATACGGCGGAAAAGTTTCACTTCACGTTAATATTTTTTTTTCGTTTAAAATATGATTTTTATTTATGACTGTCTACTAGAAAAGTGAATGTCTACCCTGCAGCAAAATGACCAGTTTATTGCTTGATGTAAGATTTTTTACAGATTTCCTTCCCTCTTAAAGTATCCAAATTTGGATTTGATATATCCTGAAACAACTTGGAAGACTTATTTACTGTATCCTTTGTTTGAAACGTCTAATCCAAGGGAATTTGAAGATAAAACTGGAGCCACACCAAGTAAGTTATTACTTCAGTGTTTTAATTAAAACATTTATTAAACCAAATATCTGCATTTTGATCGGTTCTGGGTGAAAAAATAATTAAATAGGCCTTTGAAAATTGTTATGGGCCTCTTTTAAAACCAACTTTACACCATTAGTACCTATAGATATTGAAACAAATGAAGCTCTGACGAGACAAGGTTCGTGTTATACGGTGGATGCAATAAGAAATTAAATCTATATCTCTGTGATATTCTTAAAAGAAAATAAAAACTAATTTTATCGTTTCAGATTACTACAAGGAGCAATTCACTGAAGTGCAATTTTTGATCACCATATCGATTCTTAGCCTCAAGTTGGAAAAAACTTTGGACATACCGGATTTTCTCGAAAAAACTCAAGATGAACTGTTCCAAATACTCAACGAGTACCAGGGCACCGACGTGTTTCCAGTTATCGATTTGCCGAGTCTCCACGCACAGAGGTTCCCGTCTCCGGAGTGGCTGGAAAACCGAAAGCTGGAACACCTGTGGCCGTACGTTCTTCTGGTGATTGCGTTTTGTTTTTTGTTGCCATGCAACAGCGTTGTCAAAAGGATGACGATCGAAAAGGAAAGCCCTATATTGGTAGGTCGATCGCGAAGATGCGTTCTCGCGGAAGAAACAATTTTATCAGGTTTAAACCGGTCCAAGAACCGCTTGTTTGTTGCAAACCGGTTCATAACCAAAATAAACAAGTTTTTAAATCTGGACCGTCCCGTTTTTTTTGAACGAACCGTTTTCAAGAGTTGCTGCGGTTTTAAAGTTGTTTATTCGATTTGAAGCGGTACAAACATTATTATTATTATTAGTTTTATACTAGCAAATTGAAATGAAAAAATGTTGTATGGCGTCTTGGTAACACTATGATAGTTTTAGAAACTTTTTTTCCAACATTGAGTACTCCAGTCAGGTTCCAGCACTTGAGAAGGAACGACGCAATGTGGCGAGAACTCTTACGTAAAAGTTTAAAGATTGAAACCAACAATAATTTTTAAAAAATGCGAGCCAATTATAGTGAAGCAAACAATTTTCATAAAGTGCAAACTAAGATGGTGTAACGGTCAATGAGGAGTGAAGTGTTAGGTGTTATAAATGAGTTAAGTGACGGGTTTCGGCTTCTGGTCCTATATGTATGCCGCCTGTCATTGGACGCTTTTCACTGGACAAACGGGGGAGGTCAAACAAGAGGGGAGGTGGCTATCCGCAAAAAAAAAATTGATAAGTAACCTTAAGCATTAGGGTGATTCATTTCCGCAAAGTTTTTTTTTTCGGTGCTCAAGCAAAATATTAATCTACCTATAGAAAAAAAATTCACCAAGGTAGAGCTCTTAATATCAATTTTAAGTACTTGCAGTTTAAATTTAAAGTTTTCCCATTTAAAATGCATGTAAAAAAAATGGTTTTTTTTTTTTTCAAATTTCTAATGCTCGCCCGCTTTTTACAATATTGTGAATCGGTTTTATGGACCTTATAGGGAATTTCACGCTCTTCAAAATTGTCTTTGTGTTTTTTTGTGTAACTCGTAGTGGTTCGCCAGTAGGAGTCATCAAAGTTCAGTTTTTTGAATGAACATTTTTTTTTGCAATTTTTTTTAACAATTCGCAAAAAATAGTGAAAAAAAGAGCTGAATCGTAAAATATAGTCTTTTAACAAATATTTGATGAATTTACGGCCATTTTTATATCTTAAAACGTAAGTAATTGATAAATATTAACCAATTATGCTATTTAAATTAAACTTTCTTATTTACTATCGATTTAATTCTCTACAACAATAACTTTTCCAGAGTTATTATGATTTTTGACTTATAATAAATATAAAAAACATATTAATTTATAAAAAAACAACAAATATACAATTGCAACTTAGATTCTGCAATTTTACAACATTTCCGTAATATAGCAATAAATATAAATGAAGGTTATTCAATTTTTTTAACAAAATTCTTAAATTAACGAAAAAGTAAATTGTTTTTATTGTCAACTTCATTTGCTTCAATATTGTATAAGTAGAAATTGCTATTTGAATAATTGCACTAAATAATATTTTGATGGCATATTCGAACATAAGTAAAAAAATAATGATAATTATTTGATTGGGAAAGCAACTGTTTTAAGATATAAAAATGGCCGTAAATTCATCAAATATTTGTTAAAAGACTATTTTTTACGATTCAGCTCTTTTTTCCACTATTTTTTGCGAATTGTTAAAAAAATTGCAAAAAAAATGTTCATTCAAAAAATTTAAATTTGATTCCTTCTACTGGCGAACCACTACGAGTTACACAAAAAAACACAAAAACAATTTTGAAGAGCGTGAAATTCCCTATAAGGTCCATAAAATCGATTCACAATATTGTAAAGAGCGGGCGAGCATTAGAAATTTGAAAAAAAAAAACATTTTTTTTACATGCATTTTAAATGGGAAAACTTTAAATTTAAACTGCAAGTACTTAAAATTGATATTAAGAGCTCTACCTTGCTGAAATTTTTTTTTCTATAGGTAGATTAATATTTTGCTTGAGCGCCGAGAAAAAATAAGTTTTTTGCGGAAATGAATCACCCTATGCATGACACAACACATAATCTGCAATTTAAACACGCTTGTCATTTGTTAATAAATAAATGCAATACTTAATTTTGGAATTTAAGAAAATAAAGACAAAACTCTACCACAAAACGTGCTTGGGCAACACAATAACTAAAAAAAAAAATTGTTAGAAATTTCGCACTACTGCGGCAATAAACAATTTAAAAAAAACACCAAAAGCTACAAGTTACATATCCAGCTACTGAACTATCTATTGATGGTTTTTGGCCTCAAGACAGGACACAAGTGCAGTTGATAAGTAACCTTAAGCATATGCATGACCTAAACATAATCTGCAATTTAAACACGGCAGATATCTTTAAAACCCTAAGAAAGGCACACTGCTTAGGACAATAAATCTGTCAATAACAAATGCGTAAGGCAAACCCAAACGAGACCAATATTAAACATTAGACACACAGAATAAACTAACACATTAATCATATAACCCTAACATAGTAAAAAAGCATAATAATCAAACTCTATCGGATTTGTAAACATTAGATAACAGAATAATTGCGCTTGTCATTTGTTTAACTAATAAACAAATGCAATACTTAATTTAGGAAAATAAACACAAAACTCTACCACAAAACGTGCTTGGGCAACACAATAAATAAAAAAAAATTGTTAGAAATTTCGCACTACTGCGGCAATAAACAATTAAAAAAAAACACCAAAAGCTACAAGTTACATATCCAGCTACTGAACTATCTATTGATGGTTTTCGGCCTCAAGACTGAGGACACAAGAGCAGGAGCAATCCTACTTGGACACGAACAATAACGACAAAAACGTAGACCAAGACTTGGGCTCCTGCAGCAAAATAACAACTCCCGAACTCCATACAGTAATCCCAAATGTTTGGAGTAATACTAACCGCCTGGTGTAGGGGGGTTCCGCGTCGTACTTAGTTTTAAGTCGGCGTAATTGTCCCCCAAAGATCAAACTGTCTATCCCTCCCGTCCTACCTCCTTCATTACCCTACTGGGCGTATAGCATCGGCTCGGCGAACTAAAACTATTGGTATTTCGCTCTCGAGCCCCAAATAGGGGACAGAACGGGACGCAATGGACATTCGCAACCAGCAAACACGGGTGAAGCCGCACCGTTGCTGGTGGCGAAACAAAATCGGCGCAAGGAAACAGAGGCCCATGCGGGGCCCGGGAGTGATGAGGCAATGGGGCCGGTTATACGTCTCTTATACTCATACTCATACTCATTGAGTACTCCAGCTTAGTTTAACTAATTTTGGACCGCTGATTACAAAAATGTCATTCGTTTTTCTCTAGGACGTCTAGGATTTAAAATAATTTCGTAATAAAATGCTCTGCTCAATCATCTCAAAATGTAAGTTTTTTGTTGGTATTTTAATTATTTTGGCTTTAATTTATCTTGAACGCACTAAAGTAAGAAAAACAGCCTTTTTTGTCGTTTATTTTAAATATTGAATTGAAAGGGCAACAAATTAAACAAGTTTCGGTATTTTTTTATCCAAATTAATCCCACAAAATTTAATGCATGCATTTTGCTTTTTTATACCTTAAATTTATTAAATCGTATCAAATATCGAATTGCATTATAGTATTATTGTGCTTAATCCTCATCATCGTCGTACATCCTTTGCTGCAAATTTCAGCAAAATTTTATGTCTCCTAGCAATGAATCCAACTTCTTTCCGCTACATACTTTTCGTTAATTTAAGAACTCTCTTAGCAACTAAGTGAATCGGCCTGAATGTCACTATAAAACAAAAATAGCCCTTGTAAATATTACATAAATTAAATTTTATTTCTAGATTACTATGAAAGTAAATGGACTACCGACTTGGAGACAATGGGCCGCCTGGTTTTGCGAGTTGTGCGTTTATTTGATCATCCTGAGTTTAATAATGATATCGCTGCTATCAAATGGAATTTTTTCAAACACCAATCCTTTGGGACTAATATTTTATTTTTTGGTTTACGCCATTACATCTATAATGTTCTGTTTTGCTGTGGGCTCATTTTTCTGCAATGGTAAGTTTTTATATTTTATTTGGTAGAGATAAAGTTTGCTTTAAAAAATAGGGTTGGGGAAAACTTATTTGATCTCAAAATTATTTCTTGACCATTAACTGGCGCGCGCCATCTGGTAATGGACTTCGAAAGCATTGCGTGAATTTAAGAATTGTCAACAATACATTTAAAGTACAGATTATACATCATTTTTAAATAAATAGGTAGTTTTTTTCACAAAATCGTGGAAGGCAGAAGTCTTACTCGACAAATTTTGTTCAATTGCACAGCTAAATCGCGCACGTTATTTGTGTTTTACGTTTCAAGGAAAAAATTAAAAACCTTTTTAGTACTTGATTTCGATTAATTATAATTATAATATAAAAACACAATAATTCACCATAATCCCGCTTAAATGCTTATATAGTTACGTTATTGTGTGTATTTTATCAAAGGGATTATGGTGAATTATTGTGTTTTTAATTGTAAATAAAATTCAAGAACTAAATCGTTGCATTTTCACGTTTTGCCAAAGGATCCAATTCGGTTAGTACATTTGTTGGTGCAGAATTAACTAATGATAACTTTACCTAATATAATTTATATTTAAGTTTGGACATTTTTAAGAAATTAGTAAAAAATAATTTTTGCACAAACATAACCTTAAAATCAACCATTTTTATATTTGAGTTCTCTAAAAAACGCCAACAACTGTATTTTAAACAATAAAATGTACCTACGAATTCATGGCAACATAATATTATATATAATACATAATATAATGGTATTTTACCGTTGAGTGGAGACTTTCTTAATCAACGCTTTTAATAATGCTAGACTTATTTGTTTGACGATTTTTACTGAATTAAAATGTTTACACTTTTCACGTTAATCACTACTAAAATGTGTATTTATTGTATCTTATAGGTACAATTTATATTTACAGAGACTGTATGCAATTTATTCCTTCATTCAGATTTAACCTTATTTAAAATAAATACTGTTTATAATATACCCAACAACACAACAAATCGAGCCACGGTTTTTTTTTTTGATATTTTTTAACATTTTTCGGCTCTATTCCCAAAAACACTCGTTTGTAACCTAAGCGTTTGACAGCTGATTATTATAAGTTCTACTTTTGTTACGATAATAACAGCCGAGTGGTGGCGCTACTAGCGATACTTCAGCGTATTATAAATGAGATGGTTCCAGATTTTTACCAATATTTCGTCTGGGGCGTGTTTCATGGCATCGGCTGTATTTTTAGTAGGCGGGTGTTTTTCAACACTATTTATTTCCTTAAAACTGTAATATGCCCCGATTGTAAATTTAACTTATTTTTAATTATATGCTTACCTACTGTCTGAAAGGAGCAATTTTTGTTTATAAATTTTAAAAGACAATTTATAATAATTATTGTACATGATTCCATGACCCTAAGTGACCTTTTAAATACACATTGGCAAGTTATGGCTTAATGGCGCTTTAATCACGGTCTAAAGTTAGCAACAGGTTTTGAGTCACGGGCTGAAGTTAGTTTTAAGTTAGTTGACAGTTGTCAAATGTCATACAATCGTTAAAATAAGGTGCCTTTCTTGGAAAATAATACTAAATGTGAAAATTATTTTAATATTTCGATACAAAAATACAAAAGTATTAAATAGTTTTTTGACGCCAATATTTAAAAAGATTATATGAACGTTTGTACTTACCTTTTGATTTTGCCGAAGTAGTGCTAGATTTAACTGGTGCAGAGACAAAAATGTTGCGTACAGTGCCCATAAAACTTTCTATTCTCTTTTACGGTAAAAAACTGCTTCTATATCGATTGTTACTCTATTTTCAAGGCATAAATTTTAATTTTAACAGAAAAATGTGAGATTTAACACCGCACAGAGTTTCAATTCTCGAAAATATCGGCAAAACCTTAAAAATTTACATTTTTTTCAGGTAAATTTTGAGTTAGATGGGTAGTTAATACCTGTCTCCATCCTGTATTGAAAAAAAATACGTATATTTTGTCTTGTACATCAGTTTAAACTTGACGCTTTCAGTTGAAGGTACTTTACACGCGATCGCTGCGGAAAATTGTTTATTGTTTAAAAGTGAATAACTTGTGTTTGGTGTGTCCGATTGTTATGCGGTTTAATGAAGGGTGATCTTCAAGGTATGTAAAATTCAAAAATGTATTTGTTTCTCGTAGATTTTGCTTGTATAACGGGTTATTGTAACCGACAAGAACGGTCTGTTAAAATCGCAAACTTTGAATCGAGCTTTTAGAACAATGGACCTACAAAAATTGTAATGAATTGTAAGGCATCAGTTCAAGATCCGTTAAATAGCTTAGAGTTTTGTATATCAAGCCATCAATAAATTATCTGCCCCAACTCGCCCCCGGCTCTTTAAAACGACATGTTCTTGGGCGCTCAGACACGGTTGTGGTAAAAAACCTCGCGATTTTAAGCCTATAGGCTTGATATATGTCGCGCGTGTATCTGTGTTTTTGCTTTACAAAATATAAGTTTTTTTTTATTTCTCATGACGTGCATGACGTTTACTCGATTCACTCGGATTTAACTCAAAACGTTTATTACAACAGCGGTGTCTAGGCTTTCACTTGCGTAAATCGTTCGTGACTACTAAGATATTTTACACCGATTTTACATATTTTTGTATGCATGCGCATTGTAGTGTGTTAATGTCAAATTTGAATTGTGGATATTTGTGTTGACAATTTTTTTTAGCGAATCCAGTGAGGGAGATTGTTTAATATATATTAAATAATATCATATAAATGTAATAATAATAAACTAAATTAAGCTATTTTATAAAAAGATGTTTTATTTACATTTTAAAAAGAACCTTTTACAGGTTTTTAATTAATTTCGAAAATTTTTTGATATAAATGTCCGCCATTTGAGGTACACTATTTTGAATTTTGGAATTCTGATTTCAGATTCATTATCAGCGACCACAAAAACCCCTGTATGGTGATTTTTAATTTATTCCGTCAATTTTTTGACAAATATGTCCGCCATTTTGGATCTACCATTTCTAATTTTTGGGAGAATCCGACTACTCCTTGATATTTTGCCGAAAATTTCGAGAATTGAAACACTGTGCGCCGGTAGATTCCCAAGCTAGAAATTCTAACGGGAATTGCAATAAATACAACTGTATACAGAAATGTTAAAGGTATACCTTTAACATTTCTCTTGTGATAATGTTTAATACTTTGTGATAATATTAATAATCAAAGGGAAAAAAAGTGGAAAGTTTGAGTTAAACTTTCTCTTGGCCTCTTTTTACCTCTCTGTTGTAAAAGGGGCCCTTCTACACAGCCTTAAAGGCTGCCCAATACAATACTTGGCATGTTCAACAGTTGGTAATCCCTTCAACTTTTCTGTTAGGGCTAGTAATTTATCCTCAATGTCATTAAGTCCTCGACATTGCCAGTCTGAGAAATGCGTAGTTTCCTTGCCCTTTTCCTTACATATGCCTTTAAGTCAATAAAAGTGTAAAAATAAGTAACACATAACTATTTTAAGATATTTTAGGATTACCCTTTTCCATTTAAGGATGGACTTAATATCCCCCCAGAAGATCTGTTCTTCGGGTAGTTCAGCATAAAACGTATTTTTAGAATTTGTGGATTTTCTTGGTAGTTCATTTAATACATTAAATATCACAAAAGATTTTAAAAATAATTATTTAACCCAATTTTAGTTTATGATCTGCGACTTTTAGGTTATAAAACTAAGATACTCTCTGTCTTAGAAACATTTATCGCTGTTCAGAAATATTCGTTAAATCAAGCCTTTAAATATACGCAAAACGGATAACCTACCTTTAAACATAGGTGCCAGTTTGTATCAAGATAAGTTTACCTAAATCAACTTATTTTGGTCTAAGAAATATGTGGTATGTTTTAGTGAAGACCTTTTACATTTTTTAATTGCAATCTAAAACTATTAATTTTGAGGTTTTTTTTAGTCGAGAAGGCCTCGGCCGTGTTCATTTTGCTGTGGTTGTTTTCGTACGCGCCCTACATGATGATATTCAAGAGCTACGACAGCCTGACCTTGGGGCATACGCTGATGTCGTCCTTATGGCACACCACCGCAATGGCGCACGGCATGGGGTTGATTTTAAAGTTGGAAGCGCTCGAAAAGGGTTTTCAGTTGCACAACGCGTTCACACCTGTCACCACGTACGAGTACATTAGCGTTGGAGGCTGCATGGGCATAATGCTTTTTGACAGGTAGAGTGGAAAGGGTAATGCAGTGCATGATACATAGTTGTAGTGCACTCCCAGTAAACACACAGACGTTAAATTTACTTATAAAATTGGTTGGTAAACATACGTGAATATTAGGTAAAAGTATATAGTAATATTTACGTTAAAATGTCTCACCGTAAAAGGTAATTTTTTACGAATAATTTAACGTGGTTTCAACCTTTGAAATAAGTGATTTTTTAACGTAATTCAAACAGCAAAAATTGACGGAAATAAATAACGTTAAAAGTAGGTTGAAAAAATACAAAATACAAAAAAATTTTCACGTATTTCCTTTAGTCTATGGATACACATAAAAATCGGTTAAAAAAATACGATAATATTACGTATTTCCTTTAGTCTATGGATACACATAAAAATCGGTTTAATTTTGATTTAGTATTGCTGCATATATAAACGATATTTTTTATGTGAATTTAACCAGTACATTTGGCGATATTTACACGTAAATTTTAAGACAAATCTAACTTTTATTAAAGCGGTAAATGTATGATAAAAATCTGAATTCATTTGTTGATTAGGTAAATATATCGTAAGGTTAATACCCAAGCAACAATTTAAGTATTTGTTACGTATATGGGACTATTGAAGAAACTTTAAAGTGTTTTGCGACAGTCGCCGGTCTCTTTATATTACTCTTTTATTACTAAGTTACGACTAAAGTGGGGAACAATTATTGAGTTCCAAAAAGGTAGCAAATATGTAACTAGCTATAAACCCTGCTACTATTTGGAACGTAGCTGCTACGTTACTAAAACGTTCCAGTATCGTTGCTAGAGCGTTATAATTACTTTTATTTATTTGTTTTTACTTCTATATTAACTGTCTTTGTCAAACTTATATTAGATTATACTATCCCTCCCTTTTAAATGGAACCAATACGGACTTGGCTTTTCAATGTCGTCGTTTATTAAATATGTACTGGTAGTTTATAACTTCCAGAATAACAATATAATGTTTAATTAGGCAGGTAAATTTATAAACCCTTTAAATTTTACTTATGAATTTAGTTTTTGTAAAATAAATGCGCTTCATCAATATTTAAGTATAAACAAATTATTTATTTAATAATGTTTATAAATAAAAAAAATTTAATATTTATTATTAATTTTTTGATTTCATTATTAATACCGTCTATTGCCAACAAAATTACTATTTATTAAAAAGTAAACAACCATTTACAAACAATTAAAATAATTTATTATTTACATTACCACGTAGTACTGTACAGTAAAAAATGGCCGATAAGAAGCATTTTCCTTTGAAGTAGTTTTCGCTACTTTAAAGTTTTTTCCACTTTACGGTTGTTTTGGTTAGTACCATAAACGTTCCAAATACTAAAATAATAACTTTTAAGTTATTAACTTTGTAGTTTTTAACTCATGTTCCAGTTTCGAGATTTTAACTTGGAAAGGGACTACAAAGTAAAAATAATTATAATGTAATCTTTAGGTAGCAACCGAAAGTAACTGCTACAAATTAAATTTACTTAAAAGTTTTTTTTACTTATAACACCTTTTTTAAAGTTGCAAAGTCTTCTTGGGGGCAACCAAGTTTTACTTAAATGTTTATTACTTTATAGTAACCATTTAAGGAAAAATTAAGTTACTGTTACAAAATATTGCTATTTAAAAGTTAAAATTACTTTTAAGTAAAAATTAAAGTAGCTGTTTAGTATACTTAACTAATTTAAAGTTATCACCACTTTGGCAATGGTTTTTGGAACCAAAAATGCTGCTTGGGTAGCCAATACCTTTGACTGAAAAAAAAAACACATTAATTTAATACAAAACTTTATTATTTAAAAAAAAATAAAAGTGACAAAAAATTAAAACAAAATAAAAACATAGATATAAAAATACCTTGCACATTATTCCCCTTTTTTGTTGCTAATTCTTGTATTTTCGGCTTTTAACCATTCCTTAACTCACTGGATTATGGAGTTTGACTCGAGTACGATCGTAAATGAGGTATTAAGGAAACATTTATGAAACATTATAAGAAGTAGGTACTCACCTGCATTAAACCAAAAAAGGGCACTAATTAAATAATGCAAATAACAATACTAAATACAGTTTTTAAAAACGTTTTCAACAGCTGCTAGCACACACAAAAGCACCATGAAAGACCGATAATCGCCATTTTCCACGCCACCAAGCACAAGAACGTTGGCGAGTTCGCGACAACCCGGTAAAGATCGTGTTCACTCGCAACAGTAGATCAATACTATTGGCTGTGCAGATCACCTATTGCTCACTGCGTTCTTGGGTTGGTTAAACCCAAACATTACTGCGTTCATCTGAAGTTGAGATTCTGAACTAACAATAAAATTTATTTATTTTGAAAATTGAAAAAATTACTATCAATTTATGATTGAGTGTCCCATTTAACGTTACATGGGACACTCAGTTTTCCTATAAGATGCTAAAAAACGTTTTATAAAGGGGTTAAAATGTACTTAACTAGTGACGTAATTTTAACGTTAAAAGAAACAGTCAATTTTTCGATCTATAAGATGCTAAAAAACGTTAAAAATTGGGAAAAATAGAAACCTTTTTTAAGGGGTTAAAATATACTTAACCATTGAGGTAATTTTAACGATGCTTACAAAAACGTTAAAAATATAGGAAAATGAAACCGTTTTATAAATTACACTAATTTAACATGATGAAACACGTATATAAAACGTTAAAACGAATCGCAAAAAGAACACATAAAAAATACTTTAAATAAACGTTAAAAAAATGGCACATTGACATCTTTTAAAATACGTGTTATGTAACCCCATAATTATACGTTAAAAAAACGTGTCTAACTTACCATAAACGTAAAATTCACTACTCACACGTAAAAAAACGTAAAATTTACGATTGTGTGTTTACTGGGCTGGCTGTACCGATATGGTGGGTACCTACACACATGGTGTCAGGCAATAATCATTTTTTATTTTAAAAGCCAAATCGGAAATATGAATAATTTTTCTTATTCTTTGAAGGATGCCGCCTATACCGCAGCGCGTGCCGACAATGCATTGCAATAATCAAAGGGCGGGGTACTTGTAATACTAATAATTATAAAATTGTCTGTTTTTTAAATCAAATGTAATACAACTGATAAATTATTTCTGTTTTTGCCATTTTGCCATTCATGCATTGAGTATAAAAGCCACTTCTTATCCCTTTTTCCGCAATGTACTATGCTCCACACCTCAAAGTCCCACCACGTGACCACGTACGGAACGCAGTCTTTTGAAAATTTGGCATTTAAGGCTTTTCAGGTTATGTATGTGTCAAAGTATAGTCAATGAAAGAAATAATATTTATAGTGTTACCGCTTATGTTTAAGCGTTAAAAGTTAATAAATCTTTATAGTATAACAATAACAATGGTGGGTTTAAGAATTTAGGAATATAAATACTGCATTTAATGAAATTCCAAAGTGTAAGGTGCAATATAAGTGATATTTTTGTGCATTAGGTCTACATTTCTCCATAAAATAGTTTTAACTAAACAGGATTTACTAAAAAAATCTAACTTCTCTATTATGAAATAAGAATATATGTATCAAAGGTAGGTTAATGTATTAGAACAAAAAATATCATCTAATTTTGTATTTTAAGGTTAAAAAAATCTATTTTGACCAAAATAAATAAGTGGATTATTTGGAAGTGTGTGCTAATATGGTCATAAATAAATATAGGTATACTAAATAATTGTTGAATATGGTTCAAATTAAATTGAAGCTTTTATACTTTTAACGACAAAACTTGTGCAAACCTCTCGGCATACCTACTTTAAGTTAGATTATAAGAAAACAAACAATTTTTGAGAAACTTGAAATGTGAAAATATTTACTCCCATGACCTGTGATTTATTAAAATATTAAAGTTATAATGATTTTTCGATGTAGATCAAATTCAGTCGAAGCTTTTTAACTAAACTGCGCACCACTCAATGTGTCGCGACCAAAAAGTTCGTCCTTTTTCAAAACGACATAACTTTTTTGTTTCTTAAACGATTTTATTTTGGTTTGTGATGTCTGCTAACCCCATCCTCTGGCAATTCATTCTATAGATATTAAGCACACGGTTCTTCAAGTAAATTTTCTACAGGGTGATATGTAAAACGGTGAAACATTTCAATAACTTCATCCAAGCCCCGTTTCTAAAACAATAATTTTTTTTCGTTTTCACTTTGAAATAATGAAGTATTATGTGTTACCTTGAAACGTTTTTCAAATTTTTCGAATTGGAATCTTAGCAACGAAAATATGATTTTTTTTCCAAAAGAGTACATTTAAGGCTTTTTTTTAGGCAATACACTCAGTCTTTTTAGGAACAAGAAGATAAGATGGTGAAAGATTGTTCCTTAAATAATTCTGAACAAGCGACAAGCAACAAACTTCGATTATTTTCAGAGGGCCTAAGCTAAGACCACTTTTTGAAAATGATATTTTTGTGAAAGTTTGCAAAAACTTTTACTTTTACTTTTGATGTTTTCTTCATAATTTTGACCTCCTGATTTTGATTCAGTTGTCAAATTTAAGTTTCAGATAAAACCAAAATCACTAAGAATCAAGATTCGAAAACAATTCCCGGCTGTTAAATGCGTCAATAAAATCCGATTGCTGGTTTTTACTGTTTTTTTACATATCGTAAATGAGTATTTAAGGGACCACCATATTGAGAAAATTAATTGGCCACCTTTGTCTCCGGATATGAATCCTATTGAGCATGTGTGGAGCAGGATAAAATTGAAGATGAAAGAGAGGGAAGAAGGCATGGAAAATTTGGATGAATTGGTAAATGCTATTCAGGAAGAATGGGGTACCCCAGAAATTTCTAAGGAACTTGGTCGAGGGAATGCCCAGGAGGGTTAACGAATTATTACGGCTTAGGGGAGGGCCAACGTAATATTGAAAGGATATTGTTATTGTTTGTTACATTTTTCTGTTGAATGTTGAAGTTTTGATTATGATTATATCGCATACAATTTTCAAAAATGAACAAAAATATTTTTATTTAACTTTATTATCAATTAGGTAGGTACTTATCAATGATATTATCACTACTGCGCAATGTAAATGTAAGGTATGTAACATTATCCTAACCACTCAAACAAATTGCAATAATTTCGCCCAAAAAATTAATCCCCAAATGGCATTTTCATGCATAATTATGCAAGAAACACGACAGCAATCGGATTTTATTAAGACATTTAACAACAGGGAATTGTTTTCGAATTTTGATTCTTGATGATTTTGGTTTTATCTGAAACTTAAATTTGACAACTGAATCAAAATCAGGAGGTCAAAATAATAAAGAAAACATGTCACGAACGTAAATATCGGTTCAGGTTTAGTTTTCGCAAATTTTCACCAAAATGTCATTTTGAAAAAGTGGTCTTTGCTTAGGCCCCTCTGAAAATAATGGAAGTTTTTTGCTTGTCGCTTGTTCAGAATTATTCAAGGAACAATCTTTTACCATCTTATTTTCTTGTTCTTAAAAAGACTGAGTACCTATATTGCCTAACAAAAAGTCTTAAATGTAATCTTTTTGAAAAAAAATCATATTTTCGTTGCTAAGATACCAATTCGAAAAATTTGAAAAACGTTTTAAGGTATCACATAATACTTCATTATTTCAAAGTAAAAATGAAAAAAAATTATTGTTTTACAAACGGGGCTTGGATGAAGTTATTGAAATGTTTCACCGTTTTACATATCACCCTGTAGAAAATTTACTTGAAGAACCGTGTGCTTAATATCTATAGAATGAATTGCCAGAGGATGGGGTTAGCAGACATCACAGACCAAAATAAAATCGTTCAAGAAACAAAAAAGTTATGTCGTTTTGAAAAAGGACGAACTTTTTGGTCGGGACACATTGAGTGGTGCGCAGTTTATTTGTATTGACAAAACTTTATGTAGGTACACTTTAAGCTGGATAAGAAAAACTACCACATTTTTAAATATCATATTATACTGTCTTTTAAAAAATCCAAAATACTTTGTTATTTTGATCAAAATAAATTTTTCTAACCTTAAAATTACAAAATTAGATGTAATTTTTGTTATAATATATTAACCTACCTAGCTTCTCTATTATGGAATAAGAATATCTGTATTAAAGGCTTTAATACAGATATTCTTATTCCATAATAGAGAAGCTAGATTTTTTTTAATAAATGCTGTTTAGTTAAAATTATTTTATGGAGAAAACCAGATATGCACAAAAATATTACTTATTTGGCACCATAAACTTTAGAATTTCATTAAATGCAGTATTTATATTCTTAAATTCTTAAACCATCCATTGTTATTGTAATGTCTTAAATGCCAAATTTTCAAAAGACTGCGTTCCGTACGTGGTCACGTGGTGGGACTTTGAGGTGTGGAGCATAGTACTGCCCGAACCTCCTTAACTTTCATAATAGAAAATTTGCCATAGTTTTAATTGATCATAATTAATTTTGACATAACACATGTTTTCTTCCACAGCATGTTATATTTTTTGATCGCCTTGTATGTGCAAACGCTCTTTCCAAGTCCAAATGAAAAAAGTTGGCCTGTTTATTTCTTTCTCATGCGGTCGTATTGGCGTACACAAAAGCAAACAGGTAATGTTTTCCTTATTTTTTTTCTTAACTGAATAGGTAGGGGAGACCGGGGCAGCGAGGATCGCTTAAGCATTTTTTTTTTATATTTCAGCTATATATGAAAGTATAGACATAAGCAATTTTTTCGAAAACCTATATAATATGGTGTAACTAATTTTGTACAAAACCGAAAAAAATGTAACATCTTTTGGTAAAGATAAAAAAAAACACTTTTATTACATTGGTCCTCTATGCCCCGGGTATCACCTGCACGCATTAATAATAATACCTCTTGATAGTTTTTAACGAATTTATTAAATAAATTAATTAAACAAAAACAAAAAAAGCAAATTCTGTTGCGCCCTTCAAAAATTTAAAATTTAAAAATTATTCGCACAGCTCGCAAATGAAAAAGTCATCTTCTACCCCCGCATATTCTTCGCGTCGGGCATCAAACTATTCGCGGGAGGAAAAGCACTATTTTCCTCCCATGGTATGTAAATAGCCATTTATGCTTTTCAAATAAACCCCTATAAATTCATTAAAAAAGAACAGACAGTGCCTCAGCACGCAAAGTCAATCGACCGTCACGACGGTTTGACTGGACTAATAGTACAACTGTAAATTTATACGAACGACCAGCTGTTATCACTTCCGGCACTGAGCGATGATGAGGCAAATTTAAATAATATTCTCAGCCTTCGGTTCCATTGTGGTTAATTTAGATAAGAATCCAAATTGTTTATCAACGACTTCGTACGCTGAAATTCGTTTATTTAACAATACGATGAATTGGTCGATGACAGGGAGGAATTGCCTTTCGTTAACGCAAAGAGAAAAAGCTTTCATATTGGGAATGGTATAAACATTGAGCCAATGTTGTACTGTATTTGCAATACCTGAATTACAGCTATGATCAAATAAATGAGTGTCTTACATTTATTTGTGCAAACCTGCTTAAAGTTAGTTCAAACATAAGAAGTCATTGAATTAAATTGTGATCCTATTAAATCCGTATTAAAACTTAGTTAAAACATAAGAAATTATTATATTAAATTGTTATTTAATTGAAGCCACAATAAATCTTAATGATAAACTATCATTGGCATAAATTAAAGTTATGGTTTCTAATGAATGGCTACATTAAATGCAATCAAAGCTCTAATTCCATATTTATAAATATGTATATTCTTGTGCAAATATTAGTTCTGTAATACATTAATATAAACTTTAAATAAAATGAATTCTGGAAACTGCCTTTGGTAGTCTTGTGGAGGCGATCCATAAAATAAAATTGTTCTGTTTTCTGTAGGAACTATTAGGAACCCACTAGAAGTGTTGGTGATACTACTCTAAGAAAGTTGCTGACCTATCACTAGCAACAGTTACTGTACTGGATGTGCAGGATCTGTCTGTCATGGCACATTGTTATTCTAAAACGAAATAGGAAGTTCATCTTATGTATTTAGAGGCGAATCCTAAAGATTGCTGAACGTCCTAAAGCAATATATACTTTCAGGACGCCCTGCAAGGATATCATGATGGTACTGAAAGGCTATGAGAAGGTTTTTATAAATAAATAAAAACTTCGTCCATTTACCAAAATTTTAAGGCATGACACCGAATATCAATTAGGTATAGGGGAAGGTGGGGGAATTCTGCGCATCTAAGCAAAATCTTTGTTAAGTTTAAATGTGAAATTTTGCAATTATTACCAGCGATAGTCTACTATGTTTACTATATGTATATAATGTGCAATTTATAAAAAAAAATTGTTTGGTATGCAAAAACTACATTTTTTTAAATAATGCATTTGCGCAAATGCAATTGTGCAATTGTGCAGGATCTGTCTGTCATGGCACATTGTTATTCTAAAACGAAATAGGAAGTTCATCTTATGTATTTAGAGGCGAATCCTAAAGATTGCTGAACGTCCTAAAGCAATATATACTTTCAGGACGCCCTGCAAGGATATCATGATGGTACTGAAAGGCTATGAGAAGGTTTTTATAAATAAATAAAAACTTCGTCCATTTACCAAAATTTTAAGGCATGACACCGAATATCAATTAGGTATAGGGGAAGGTGGGGGAATTCTGCGCATCTAAGCAAAATCTTTGTTAAGTTTAAATGTGAAATTTTGCAATTATTACCAGCGATAGTCTACTATGTTTACTATATGTATATAATGTGCAATTTATAAAAAAAAATTGTTTGGTATGCAAAAACTACATTTTTTTAAATAATGCATTTGCGCAAAATTACCTACCTATCAGGGTAATTTTGCGCATCATAGGGGGAAAATTTGCGCTGTATAGAGAAAGATTTGTAGGTATCTAAATAAACCGTTTATTTCTATAATATTATTATATTAAAACATAAACATAAAACAAAACTATTTTCTCTATGAAACAAACAAAACAAACAAAATCAAAAATAAATAACTAAAAATAAAATTTTTGTTCTTAGAAATAAGAGGAGGGTGTACATGCAGCAGTTGTCACATATGTAGTTTTAGGGGTTGTTTTTTTCGCTACACTCCGCGTGTGCCCAAATGGAACTGTTTATGCTGAACAATCTAGGCTCCTGTACCAACGCAAAATTACCCCAATTTTTCAGCGTAAAATTACCCCCATTGCAAGAAAAATATTGTGATACTAAAAAACTTTCCAAAAGTTAACCTGAACAATTTAAACATACACCAGATTGCGAGGAAAGATCATATAAAGTTGTGTTATAAACATTTAAGCGATTGAACAGAAATTTAAACTTAACTCGTAGCGGAAACAAAATGGATTTCCTAGATCAACGTACATGTATCACAGTTAGCTAGTGACCATGGTCACTAGCTAAAAGCTACAAGCTTAATTGCGGTAAGTACACTTTAGTCCCCGTATACCCAAAGCAACGTTTCCAAGTTTGCAACATTCAAAAAATGTATTATTTACTTTATATCTGGAAGAATTGTTTATGCGTAAAATTACCCATCGCGCAAAATTCCCCCACCTTCCCCAATGAGTACACATTTACCTTTTTGTTATCATTTAGATATAATTGAGTAATTAAATTACATGTCGGACATACCTACAATTAAAAAACATGTACAACTTACCTTGAAACACCAGAGATACACTTACATCAATCGGTGTCACCAGAAATACCGATTAATCAGTTGATCACATTTAACTATACGCACATACGCGATTGCAGGTACCTTGATCAGATAAACTTTGAATATAATCATTTCTAAAATGTTCAAGGAAGTACATATTTTCATTAGGT